GCATCCTGTTTACTGAGCACTCACTACATGCTTCCATGGCTGGATCACCAAGCCCCACAATCATGAATTTCATCATCACACATGTGGTAAGATTCTAGAGTGAGAGAAAGTCAGAGTGGCTGCGCCCTGGTGACCAAAGGGCTGACAGAGAGAAAATGTAGCCAGGGAGTCCTGTGACTTCTCTTCAGAGGTGGCGTCTACAGCACGCTTACCGTGTATGGGACACTCAACACCGTGCAGCATTATTTCACTTAATCCTCAAGGCCACCTTATGAGGTGGGGACTATATAGAAGAGAGAACTGAGGGACAAAGGGCTTAAGTGACATAGCCAAGGCCATGCAGCCAGACCACAACAGGCTCCATAGAGTGCTCCTGACCATATATGGCCCATGTGCCTGGGACCACGATAAGAAAAGCAGGGCTTCATTGTGAGCAGTGAAAAGCCTCAGAGGAAGGGGGCTGGACAGTGGCACAGTGATAAAATGCAATGCTCTGCAGGGCTAACCCACATAAGAAGGCTCCCAGTTTGTGTCTGGAGACCTCCCTGGACACCCTGGGCTCTCACATGCACACCCAGGGCTGGCTCAGGCTGAATCACAGTATCAGGACTCCGTTCGGGGTGCCCGTTTCTTTCTTGTGTGCATATGCATGCTCATAGAAGAAATAAATAAACTAAAAAAAAAAAAAAAAAAAAAAAAGCCTCTGAAGGGTTTGCAGCAGGTAAGAGGCAAGCCCTGTCCTGTGGGTGACATATGCTGTTGCCAAAAGGGTTAACAGTAGCTGTGCCAGACCAGTTAGTAGGCCATCACCCTATCCAGACAGGGAGAGGTAAGCAGAGGAGGTAGGAACAGATGGGGTCATCCAACTTGGGGACTGCTTGGAATGGGGATGGCAGGGATCCCTGAGATGGAGACCCAAGAGAGGAATTGCTTTGGGAAAGAAGCTGGGGCCAGTTTGGGACACCATGGATGAGAGGTATCCAGGAATCTGCTAGACCCACGGTGCTGGAAATTAGGAGAGATTGGGCTGGAGACAGATGTCAAAGTACCAATGCAAAGAAGGGAACTGATGCTGTAAAAGTGAGTGAGGCCCTGGGGCATTGGAGGGGTGAGATGAGCAAGTATCAGGACAATGTCCAAGGAAGACAAGAACTTATGACCCCAAGTCGCTTCCCCATTCCCAACTCACTTTACTCCCTGTCGTTGTGTCTGCCTTGGTCTCAGCACCCAGGCGGTCAAACACAGATGTCCTATGGAGACCTGGGAGGGAAGAGAAGCTATCAGGCTGCACCTACTGAGCAGCCCCTAGGGCCCAGGCCTAGAGGGAGCATAGTGCAGACACCAAGGGAGGTAACAACAAAACCAGCCCAGACACTAGTCAGCCCTGCAACAAGCAGAGCCAGACTGAGCCAAAATGGATTTATGTCTACACTGTGAGCTAACAATCGACCTGACCCACATGCATGTGGGCCAGTGTCATGTGTGGGAATGATCAAACCTGACATTTACATTTTGTGCACCCTGGTACAAGTTCATGGCGGGGAGGAGCAGTGGGAGGAGTTCTTAATCCCTACACTTTTGTACTTCGAGGTCATAAGCCTCTAATAGAACCTGATGAATAATGAGTTCTCTCTCTAAATAATAACCTAAACATCCATCAGCAAGAGAATCTGGGTTAAATTTTGGTATATAAAGACTACAGAAATAATAAATGTCCCTTAAAAAAGAATAAAGGGAGCCAGGTGATAGTGCAGTGATAATGCAAATGGACCCACATGGAAAGGTCCTGAGTTCACATCCTGGGACTTCCCTGGGCATGCCAGGCATATGCATGTGTCTATGAGCCCGGCTGGCTGAGACTCAGGGTAGACTGTGATATAAGGACCCAGATGGGAGTGCCTGTCTTTGTCACTCTCTGGCTCTATGTGCATCTCTCTTTCATGAAAAAAATTATAAATAAATAAACTTCAAACTCTCTCTCGGGGTTGGCTGGTGACAAGCTTGCTAAGGAGCCTAGATGCCATGTATACGACTGTGGTTTGAGTCCCAGACCCAGTGGCTTGAAAAACATCTGTGTGTGCCCAAAATCCCAAGAGGAGAAAGGAAGAAAAGGGACTGCAGTGTGGCCAACCCCACCTAGGGGACGATTTCTTATTTTTCCTATGTCTGTCTGTCTGTCTCTCTCTCTCTCTCCAGCAAGCACATGCACCCTATGGTAAAAATAAAATAAACTTTCTTTCTCATACACATGCTCTCTATCATGAGTAATACAGATAAACTTAAAAAAAAGTTATATGGGGACCAGCAGTTGCTGTAATGGCTATGTCACTGGACTCCCATGTAGTCGACCACAGTTCAAGTCCCAGACCCAGTGGCTTAAACTCACACTGGGCACGTGTGCGTGCATGCCCAAGATCCTGAGAGGAGAATCAAGGAGAAGGGATTGCAGCATGGCCATCCCCGCTGTGGGGGGACTTCTTGCTTTCTGTCTCTCTGTCTCTCTGTCTTTCTGGTGAGCGTACACACCCTATAGCAAAAACCTCTCCAAAAAATTTAAAAAGTTATAGGGCCAGCCTCTGGCTGGATCTCACATGGCCAACCACATAGTTCAAGACCATATCTGATGGCTTAAGAAATACTCTGGATACGTGTGCGTGCATATCCAAAATCCCAACAAAGTGGAGAGGTGGAAAAAAAGGGATTACAGTGTGACCATTCCCTATCAGGGGTACTTTCTCATTCACCAGTCCTTCTGGTAAGCAGAAATGCCCTCTGACCAAAAAAAGTTATAGAACAATACCTATAGGGTGATGCTATTTGTATTTTAAAAAAAGAAAAAAAAGAGACCAGCAGAGGGTGGAATGCTTACGTCTCTGGACTAGGACATAGTCAACCATGGTTTGAGTCCCGGACACAGTGGCTTAAACTCATGACAGGCACATGTGCATGTGCCCAAAATCCCAAGAGGAGAATGTAGGAGAAGGGACTGCAGTGTGGCCATCTCCCCCCTACTGGAGGCAGCGGGGTGGGTGTGATTTCTTGCTTTCTGCCTCTGTCTCTCCAGTGAGTACCCATTACCTACAGCAAAAAATCTTTTTTTTTCTTTTTGGAGAGGTTTTTGCTATAGGGCACATGCGCTCACCAGAAAGACAGAAAGCGAGAAATCACCCCCTGGGGGGATGTCCACGCCACAATCCCTTCTCCTCCATTCTCTTCTTAGGTTCTTGGGCACGCACGCACATGCGCCTGGCGTGAGTTTAAGCCACCAGGTCTGGGACTCTAACTGCAGTCGACTACATGGGAGTCCAGTGACTTAGCCATTACGCCAACTGCTGGCCCTGCAAAAAAATCTCTTTATCTTCTGGCTCATAATGATGGTGCTGCCCATTGTGGAGCACCTTCCCTTGGCCAGGCATTCTTGCTCACTTTATAGGTAGGCCATCCCTGAGTCCTTGTCCATGCCCCTCAGGATAGAGGCACTGAGAGGCCCAGCTACACACACTGACTGCAGGATGAAGGGACAGAGGTGATATGTCCCCTCTTGTATGACCACCATCACTGTCCCCTCTCCCCAGGCCCCCTGGACCACCTGCCTCCTGCGTCAGAGGCTGCTTCTCAGCCATCACCCACAGAACCTGACCTTCACCAGGAAGGGCATACAATATGTGTCCCTTGGAAGGTCTGTACCTTTTGCCGCCTGCTGCTGCTCTAGGATCTTGCGGGTCCGGGGGGTGGTGCCTTTGGGCATGTTGATGATGTATTTCCCCTCCATTTCGGCAGTGACCCGGCGCCGCTTAGTGGGAACAGCCAGGCTCTCCTCTTCCTGGTGGGCCAGGGCTGCTGAGGAGGAGGACAGGAGTCAGCACCCTCTGGGATAGAATGTTCTCCCAGGGTAGGGCCTACACACCAGCTAAAGGGCACACTGGAGCCCTCCATTCCCATCTGGTTGAATGACTGGAATCCCTTTTCTTCCCAGCCATCCCATCACCACCGACTGGACCACCAAGAAACTCAGAGGTCTAGGCAAGACGAGATCACAGATGGTGCTCAGAATCTCTGGGCTGTGGTGGGCCTTTCAGGAAAGAGAGGTCCACAGAGGTGCTATGACCTGATGAAGTTCAACGAGATGATTCAAGGCCTTATGGCCTTCAAAGCACCTTGCAGCACTGGGAGCATGACTCCCAACCCCAGATCTTTCACCAGTCCACTTTAACCTCCCGCTCCTCCCTCCACCTCCTGAGTCCCCTCACCAGCAGCCTTAGCACTTTTTGCTGCCATCTTGTTGGACACAGTGACTGAGATCTTGGAGGTGCTGGTGTCTGGACGCCGAGGGGGAGTGCCAGGGGGCGAGTCACGGTTCAAGCTGTTGGTGATCATTCGGGAGGCAGCTGAGAGAAGGAAAGGAAAGAGTACAGTAAGGTGGGTTCTGGGGAGGTAGGCCTGCAACTAATAGTCTCAGGGCCAGCACAGGGATGCCAGGGTTTGGACTGAGTAAGGAAGGAGAGCTGGCTATGGGGATGATGGGAGCTTGAGTGGGCTTCATTTTCTCAGGAACTAGCCCACCCCGCCCTGCCCTGGCAGATTTTTATGGACTCGAGCACACCCATCCATCAATCACTCAGCTCTGTGCTGAGCTCATCCCTCCTCTCCCCACATCACATCAGTCATGCTGGTCTCTGGGATCATCCTCAACCAGCAAGCAGACACCTCCCCAGGGCACTTGCTGTTCTTTCTGCCTGGAATGCAGTTCTGTGAGGACCTATGGGCTTGCCCTGTCTCTTCATTCAGTTCTCTCAGAGGGTAACTCCTCAGAGAAAACTTCCCTATCCCATCAAAAACAGCACTCCAGGACCAGACAGTAGCGTGGTGGTTAAGATGGCCGGACCTCACATGGCCAATTGCACAGTTCAAGTCACAGACCCAGTGGCTTATAAAACATGATAGGTGCATGTGCATTTGTGCCCAAAATCCTAAGAGAAAAATAAAGAAGAGACTGCAGCTTATCCATCCCCCACCCCCAGTAGGGTGCTCCCTCCTTCTCTCTCCTCATGCCCTAAATTTTAAAAGATTAAAATAAAGCTCTTTCCC